TACATGGATAATATAAACCTTTTTATTTTTATACGTTCACACTAAATTGTATTTTTATTATAATGTGTTTCTGCATCTGTGAATGTATTAATTATAGTTAGCTTAAAAATATATTTTATATTATTTAGAATACCAGCAATTTCGATAATAAGTATTAATTCACATGATTTTTCCTATGCTTCTTAAAAAATCCTTGTATTAGCTTAACAAATGATTTACAATTATTTTTGGAATCTTATAATTTTTTATTATATGTTGTTCACAATTCAGTTATATAAAGTTACAAATTGAAAACTATAAAATTTAATGTATTTGCTCTTTCATATCTATGCCAACAAAATGAGTATTATTTAGTAACAAATACTAATGAAATAATCTAAAAACAATTTATATGCTATTGTGATCATTAAATTTATGAAAATTATTCTATACGTCTAATAAATACAATAATTATGAATTATTAAATGGAAAAATGGATATTCTCTTATTTGGCCAATCTTTAAATCCTTCATTTACATCACAATGTAGGAAATGATAGCACTTATCATCTTTATATTAATAATATTTTTTTATAAAATTTTTATTTTACATTCATGCCAAATTTTAGGATATTACAAGATATTCTTCTAGATTTTATACCAAATCATTTTTTTATATAGGTGTTCATCTCTTTTAGAATTGCGCACTATTTGTTTATATAATTTGCACAAATATTACTAAATTTTATGGAACATAATTCCTTTATCTAATTATTCTTGTAATGCTAAATAGGATGTAACTCGTTTTTGTATTTGATTTAGTAATCTTCTAAATATTTGCACCATAAATTACATTCATTTTTGGAAATACATTACTTTAGGCAATCAAAATTGTACATTAACTAGTCTTTTCTTTTATTCCTTTCTAACAATAATCAACATAATATTATAGTTATTATTATTGGAGAATTTATACAGGTTTCAATGAGCGATACATATTTTTTTAATGTTTACATCAATTCTCATCCATTTTATGTTACCAATTTTTTATATACTCTCTTCCCAGAAGAATTCTTCATACACATTTATTCTTAAATATATTTTGCTCTCTAGAGCTCCTCAATTAGATGGCCTAAAACCTCACATTATCATACTATATATTCCTCTTGACTCGTGATATTTTCTCATAATTTTATTTATTTTTCTTCTGAATTGCTGAATGGTTCAATTAATCTATCGTAATTACTTTCCGAGCACGTGAATGTTTTTCGCAGTAGGTAACAGTTTGTATAATTCAAATATTCCTCAATTATAAGACATTTATTATTATCCCCATTTAATATATTCACTTATATATAAGGGGATTGAATGATACATTTTTAATATATTTCACCTTGTGTATTTCTATTTTTGTCATAATTGTTTGCAGCGTTTTCTTCAGTTATAAATTTAATATATACTTTTATGTTATGTGTATATTTTTTCGAGTATATTTTATTAAAATAAAATAATAAATTCGATAAATTTCAATGATTTTACAATATATTTTTTTTTAATTATTCATTATCAAGCAAAAAAAATTTCTTTATATATATACGTATATTTCACACATAATTCAATTTATATCGTAATATGTTAATTTCAAACCTCAACTTTATGACTTTTATAAATTCATAATAAGAAGAATTATAATGATAAACATATAAACAATTTCCTAATATGTTACAACTATAATCTGCACAATATTTAAGAAGTATAAGAGGAATGCTAAATATAACACATGAATTTTTCTGTAAAAATATGTCATTTATTTCATCGTAAAATATTGAGTATTATGAAATAGAAATAAAATTCTCTTTTTATAATAATAATATAATTGATAAATAATTTTTTGTTAATTTGTCATACAAATTATTTAATATCTTTTTTAAAATTTATTAGCGAGTAAATTATACTACCAAGAAAATTATTTTTATATAAATTTAATGTATGTGCACTTAATTATTAGAACACATCTATGTGATGTGTTTATTAGTTCTGTATTTAATTTAATATATTTTTTTATTAATTAATTATTTAAAAATGTGACTTATTACTGTATAAATAATACTCATGACATTTTGAATTAAATAGTAGTATTAACTCACATATATATGCTCTTGTTTATTTATATAATGGATCAGATATTGTAATTACGCTGATTCATGATATTGAGAAAATATATTTTTTACAGAATTGGCACTAAAAAAAAGGGGAAAATATATTTATATAACTAAAATATATAAAACAAATTTATCCCTAAAATGATTTTCAGTCGATAATACATACGGTCAAATGATATGATAAAATATGTAATTTATTTGATAAGTTCTTGTTTTATTAAAGATTTATATCATTGAACTCAACAAACAGCTATGTGTATAAAGAAGGATTGTAATCCAGGAATAACATATAAAATTAATAATATAACACTTGTCTTACACATGTATGCTTATACGACATTATAAACTATGTTCTCATAAAATAAGCTTTTGTCCTATAACAGATCAATACACTATATATATATATATATATAAGTAAAATATAAGAAAGTATGTACATATAGATTTATATTATTACTCTATATTACGCCCTATACTCACATTGAAATTAGTATAACAGAGAAAAAATTTTACATATCATGTGTCCATCTTTTAATAAAACAAAAAGCAGAAATTATCGTATTAATGTGTCTCTATCATTTTTTTTTTTGGAAAAATAATAAATGATGCTAAAACGTAAATATTACAAATATCCAGAAGAACCAAACAAATTACAGAATCATTGCAGAATAAGTGAAATGACAAAAATAAAAAAAAAATGTACTCTAAAACTACCCTTTGGCCCATATAATATAAAATATGGAATCCTGAACCTTATATAAAGAATCTTACTATGCGTCTAAATTACTAAAATTCACATATTTATAAATTTAATATTTTAATAGCAATTTTATTTTTATCACATGAATATTCCTTTACTTTTTAATTATAAATGTTTATCTCAAATTAAAATATACATAATATACTACAAAAAATTTATGCAAATTTTTTATTTTCCCCCTATATATAATACACTATTTTTTCAAAATCCCTATTATGTATTCATTGTTTATCCTTAATATGTCATAAAAGAATTAAATGTATGCAGTATTTTATATGTGTTGATATTCATTAATTCTTAATTTGTGCTTTTTTTTTTTAGCTGCTTATGTATTTATATTAATAATGTCTTTTATTATATTAATAACTTATTTACACATTTCACTTAATCATTCAAAATTCCCAGCATTGTGACATGAAATAATTTAACAAAAATATATACTATAATGAGCTGTATAATGCACAAAATGCAAGTTATCATAATGATCAATTATTTAGAGCTAAAATTACGTCTCATCTATATGGAAAATATAAGGAATATAAAGATATATTATATACCACTTAATATGTGTCTACAAAGAAAGATATTGCTGAATACCCTTATAAATGATCATATTATTTATATTTCTGTATTGGATCTAAGATGTTCGATTAAATGGATAACCAAATCTTTAAAAATATTTATTCCACAATTAACGTGGTAATGAATTAGTATATCCATGAAAAAAGTTATGAATTTGATCTATTAAATATTAAGAAAGATAATTTTTATGAATTTAAGCAATTTTTTTTATAATACACAAAAATAAATAATGAAAAAAAAACTTAATTTACCAAAATAACGCATGAGTTGATAATATGTTGTTATATAAGAAACTAAAAAAAACAAATTCATTAAACTATGGATCAGAATACTCTATATATAATATTATAAAATTTTATTTTTTAAATAAAATCCACGATGTATTAAAATGTACAAATATTACATATTTTATGGTAAATAATGAAAAAGAATAGTATGTTACAGAAATATCAATAATCATGTAATAAAAACGTTAACCCTAGACTTAAACTCTGAAAAATAGTTAATGGCTCAGACAAAGATAACAATCAAGTCAGCGAGAAAACCAGAGACATTAAACAACTGCGAAATAGTGGAAATAGCAGAAACAATGAAAAATTCAGCCCGGTTTGCAGAAACACAAACAGTCATAAGCCTGGTTGTTTTTGCTTTCTCAATATTAATAATATTATATATTTTATATAAGGTTAAAAATTAATTTATATATATTATATAAATGTCATATTACCATATTCATTATATATAATTTGCAAAAATTACGTTCTTATAATAATAATAAGCTCACCCTTTATTGTGAGTACAGTACTTATGGTTCATTTTTACTACTAAAATTGAAAACCATAAGAAGAACATTAAAGAAAAAAAATATAAATAATCTAAATTTAATAAATGAATTTAAGAAGACATATAATAATATGAACGTAAAAGAACATAGAATCGTATATAACTCTGTAGAATACATCTAATAAACATATAAGAATAGTTAGGAAATTCAACTTAGTTTATTTTAAGGTATAATGAGAATTACATAAATTGTCATGTATTTCTGTAGTAATTAGAATAATAAAAACATACAAATTCGAAAAAAAGCATTCAATATATTAAACGTATATTTTTTTTTTTAAAATATTGTACATTCTATAATTTAAGTCCATCCATTTATATATAAAACATATTTATCTTATGTTTTCAAATAATAATATTATATATATAGTTGTATATAATACCCATAGTTTTATGATATGTGGCAAATATTATAAAATGTATTAGAATTCAAATTTAATTATTAATATTATTATTTAATCATTCTATATACATTTATAAATACTTTTCTATAAACAAAATATTTGATATATATAGTAAAAATGTATATTATTTTTATTCAATCATTATTAAAATAAGAAATTTTTATATGCATTATTCTATTTTCAATGTAATATACAATTAATTTATTTATAATAATCATTTTATCATAAAAAAATCTCCATGTACATGCAAAATATAGTATATGATATCTAGAAAAAGAATATATTTGTTCATAGAATTTATATATAATGCTATTTATTGTATTAAATAATATAATTCAATTTATTATATTATATAATTTTAAATTCTATCTTTTATGATCACAAATTAATATATTATGTTATTAATATTACATTAAAAAGATAACTTTCCTTTTATATGAATCTATTAAGAGAGATATTTCCCATATAATTTCTTACAACATTTAATACGATGTTTAAATAATGCATTCTCTTCTTCTTATATTTCTAGTCACAAAATTAGCGAGAAATATATAACATACTATTACTACTGTGTCTTGTTATAGGACTGAATATTTCTGATTCATCGAATAAATTTATTTCTTCATCCACATTACCCCATTCTTCCCTTTTACGCAATATTGTTCGACGAAAAAAAGAACCAAATGATGTAAACTAATTCATAATAAAATAAAAAATTTATACATTAAAAATATAATTTATTTTATGCAAAATTATTATTATATATATAATTCAGGAAAAGCATTTTATAGTATAAATGTATAAAAATAATGGAGTAACTAACTTTAAACAATATAAATATAAAAACCAATATTAACAAAGTTACAATAAGTGTGATAATAATGGGTATTCCAATATGGTACTGACATGATTGTTCTGTTTGAATTTTACTGGGTTCATCAGTTAAACTAACTTGAGTTTTAATCATAATATTATATTTTTCAACATATTCTTTAATTGCTTCACAAAAAACTGCGTCTTTATTTGAACTACAAGTATCTTTTATATATTTATCATTTTTATTCATATTATATATGGCTTCAACCTTTGGCAAATCATCATCTTCAAATGGTATTTCATTCCTTTGGAATATGTGTTCTTTTATTTCCCGTATTTTCAATCTAAATATACGAATTAATTCGATAAAAAATTCTTTTATATCTGCAATTTTATTTATATCCCTTTTAAAAAGATGATCATATATCCAATAATAGAGGTAGTGACATCCGGCTTGTTTTAAACTATCAACCTGAGTAGCATTTACTTCACCTAAGTATTGCATAGCTTGAATGCATATTTTTCCTTCATCACCATTATCGCCAATTAATTCTTTTAATTTTTTTTTATAAGATTCTTCATTACATACCTTCCCCCACCAACTGTCAGTAGCTCCACTTTCAACTGCATGTTTACTTATCTCTTTTTTACAATAGAAAAAATGTTCTACTTTTTTATACTAAGATTTAAAATAAATAAAAATAAATAATATGTAAACTATATTGAACAGGAATTTATAACATTTTTAGAAAATTAAATATACAAATATTGCAATAATCTTATTTTAATAATTTAGACATACTATAGAATTAACCATTTCATAATATACTTTTATGCAAAAGAATTATATAAAACAATGAACCTTATTAATAAGTATATATCTATTTTTAAAAATAAAAACATGGAGAATAATTAACATCTCATATAATATAATTATATATTCATGAGAAAAATAAAATTCAATCTTTTCATCATAATATATTATACAACTTAAATAATAGTGTTAATTACATATGAAATCTATTATTCTTTTTAATTCTTTGATATACTCCAATTGAAAAAGATAAATATAATTTTAAGATAAAATAATAGATGATGTTAAAATATAGCATTAGAACCTTTCCAATATTTTAAATATGTACAAATTCACTAACTCTCTCAATAAAAAATGAAACGCATATCCAGTATTTATATGTGCCATTAATGTGATTATATGTTTTATAGTTCTTTTTCCCTTACGTAATGTAATACTTATGGTAATATGTATAATTAATGATAAGAAACTTAAAATAAGTGAACAAATTTTAGTTGTTATTTAATATTTAATTGATTCTTTATTACCATATAAAATAATTATGATCTAAAATGAAATATATGATTTCATATGTGTTTTACATAAATAATAAGCAAAAATTACACTATTTCTTATATTATTTCATTTTATGTAGTTTTAATGTATATTTTAGATTAACATTTATGCATATACACGCTATTAAAATTATTACTGTTTTAGAATGTACTTATATCTGAAGAAGTTAGATAATATAAATGCCATATATATCACATTAGTTTTTAAACATAAATTTTAAGTAGGACGTAAAATAAAAAATATTTTAAAGAAATGTTTTAAAATATATCATCTATAATGACACTAATACATGTATTTAATTGGTTCCTATATACATTATATAATAATATAGTAAGAATTAATTTATTCTTCCGTTGAGTAAATTCATATGAAATACGGAATAATCATTAATTATTTCAATTGAATTATGATTAAAAAATAAATATATAAAAATGTACCAATAATAAAAGTAATTTTCTCATGATAATTAGCAATGGACAAAATAAATATTATTTTTGTAATATTAATTTTGAGAATTATATTATTATTTCTTGATATTTTATTAAATGTTTGTATTATTACATAGAATAAACAATAAAACATTAATTATAACACAGGAGCACACAAGTAGTATATTCTACATCATGAGATCTTTTATGATACATTTATTCATGAAAAAAATATTGTCTTCATATGAAATATTTTTAATTGTATAATATATATTCATAGTACATATATAAGTAAAATATAAACAGATATATATAATATACTGATTTACATTAAATAATATACTCATATTAAGTGTTATAATTTATCAAATAGATAAAACATATTCTGGAGATTATTTACGCGTAATTCATACGTATTACAATAATTCATTTTAATAAACATCTATTTTAAGTTGTATAAGAGCAACCAACTTATAATATATTTGAAGGAATATTTTAACTTACTCTATCACATAACGATATATTTTATAAATTATATATACTAACATTAAAATAAAAAAAAACTAGGAAAGAATGATTTTATATATATATTTATGTTAGGAACACCTTAATAATATACTTCTTTTTTGTTGTACATTTTGTTAGTAATATTTTGCAACTTTTGCGAATTAATATAGATTTTATATTACAAAATAACACGAAATATTATTATTTCTTATAAAATAATATAGTTTTGTTTTTTCTTATTTATACACATTAATTAAAAAATATACTATGCTTTACATATTATTATAGTTATATATAGGTCAAAAAAAAAAAAAAAAAAAACTAATAAGAGAATCATGATCTTTCTATATCAGATGCATGATTATAATAATTTCTAAGTATAATTTTCTTCATTATGCATTTTTTTATGTTTTAAAATATATTTTTTTATTTTCATAACTTCATTATTTTATTCAACCACTAATATTATATAACATGAACCACGATGCAGAAGATAGACGTATGATTCAATCTATATAATAAAAATAATACTGTTTTAATATTTTTAAATGTCATTTCCCATTAAGAATATATATTTTTATATCATAATATATATTTTTTCTCATTTTAGTATAGCAATGTAAAGCATTTTCTTACATATAAAGAAATTATGGATGGGTATGAAGTTAATTCAGGTGATAGCTACGCACATAAATGCAAGGGTTTGTATAATAGCTATTCATTTGATGTTGAATCTAGAATACTTGAAAAATGCCCTCAAGCTATATCATATTTAAAAAGGATAAGTGATTATGACGATAAGAATAAGAGAATAATTGCTTATAATTATTTGCATTATTGGATATATCACGATTTACTTCAGGAGAAAAAAATCGAAAATAACAATTTGCCATCTATTTATTTAATTAATGTATTTAAGGAAATTTATAAGAATAAAAGTCTATCAGATTTTTATTCGGTAAAATTTAAAACTAATGATGATTTAGAAAAACTCTCAATTATATATGAGATGCATAAAAATTATGACATATTAGAAAAATTTTGTTTAAATAGAGATAAAAATGGTTTTTGTGATATCATTAAAGAAAAGATAGATCCATATATGAAGATATTTAAAATTAAGGATATTGTTGCTACTAAAGAAGAAGTAAAAACTACCTGTAAATCTAATGTATCAGGTCCAATTGTAATTACATTTGTAGTGACGTTATTAATATGTATTTTTCTATTCATTCTGATTAAGGTTAATTGTGTTATAATTTGAATATATTTGTGATATAAATAAATTTCATAAGTAATCTTTAAAAATACACTTTTTATTAAAAAATTATACCAATAATAAATCACTTTTTTTATTACAAATTAGTTCACCTCGTATGGCACATACTTACGCCTTGGATTAGATAGTATAAAAAAAAAGTTAAGTACACTGGGTGAATACAAAACACTACAGAATTCTGATATATCGAGCAGAATTGCAATGAATGAAAGATATAATATATTGTACAACGTTGAATAATCTTACCATTAAATAAATAGTTAGCATAGAATATTTTGTTCAAAAAGACATAAAAAAATTATAAACACATTATATAGACTTTTCTTCTAATAACATTATGTAAGAATACAATAATTATTATAATAACATAAAAATTAATATATATTTGTAGATTAATAACATCATATTAGGAAAAATATATAACAATATTAAAAAAAATTATTCAATAATAGTATAAATAGTGATTAAAAGCTATGAATGTATTTTTTTATTGTATTTTTTTAATATATTACAGACTGAATGAATAAGATTATTCTGTTCTATATAGACATATATTATATAAAAACAAAATAATATGCCATATAAACTAATGTAGGTATGCATATATAATTTTTAATTTCTAATAATCATTAAATACACATAAAAATTATTTCTACATATATCATGCTATTATGTAATATTAATGAAAAGTACACGCATTATTATAAATCTCTATTAATAGATTTTTTATATAAAACTTTTTTTTTAACTCTTATAATATGTAATAATAATAAATATTTTATATTTACATATATAAATCATAATAATGCATAATATTATACTCCATATAATCTTAATATTATATTAATATCCTCAAATTATGTCATATTATATATTTATTATTTTTTTACTTGATTAACAATATTTAATTATTTATCTAATTTTTATACTTTTGTTTTATTATTAATAGAAATATTTTTAAGTCTAATGTTGTAGTAAGATGTTCTTGTTATGCTATTATATTGAAAATATTTGAAAAATGTATATATATATTTTTAACTGTTTTCATGAAATTCAAAATTATTAAACCATAAATATAATATATTTAAACAGGATTGATCATATTTGCATATTTTATATCTTTTTCCATTATATTCCACTATTTATATATTAGGATTTACAAAAAAATATTTAGAGATCAATACACTTGAATCAATTACTACATTTCGTAAAATCTCTTATGTGATACTACATTTATTCTATTATTTCTTCATGAATTGTAAAGTCTCATTAACAGGAATTATCCTAAGTATAATTCGTTGTGTTTACACTTAATAAATAATGTGTATCATAATATAATGTAGAATTAAATTCAATTTAATAACACCATTCATTTAAAACTCATATTTATTTTTTTCTATATAAATATTTATTATATAGATATATTATTCCATACATAAATGAATTATTAATTTTTATTAGAGATATAATTAAAATAATTATTATTTATGTGTTCATAATATAATACTAATAATAACATAAATATATACATATTTGTGACTTATAATATTATTATAATACTATGTTTTTATCATTTATTATGTCTACAGTTGTATAAGTTTAATAAATGTGCAATATGCTTTTATGCTAGCATAATTGTGGGGTATAATGTACTGATAACTATTTTTCATATTGCATCATTTACACGAGGACTATGCATCAAAATTTTCTTTTGTTCTTTTTTTTTTTTTTGTATAAATATATTTTTATTATATGTATAACCAATAATATAGTTGTATAATACTAGTAAACCATGATATTAAAGTGTTCAATATTATTTCCCTTTATATAAATTCATTATTTTTATACTTGCATAAATAATATATTAACATTTCAATTTAAATTACTATGAAATCCTAAATTTAAAATCTTTCAAAGTTTTAATAAAAGTAAAATAAAAATTAGAGACAGCATATTTAACATACATATACGCATAAACAATATATAATAAAAGTAGTATTGAATATTCTGTAATCACATATGTACTTAAAAGTATAAAGCAATATTATTATAAATATTGTGTAATGTTTCTCTTATTTTTTTATAATACCAAATCGAAACACTTAGTAATTAAAAAATTTTATTGTTACTTCAGAATAATTAAAATATCAAGTAACACTTTTTTTATAATAATCGTCATCATGATATATGTTATTGTACATGATAATTTTGTACATAGATACAGAGTATTCCATTATAATATAAATAAAATTGGAAAAAATGATCATTTTCATAACACTATTATTTTAAAATATAAATACCTATTAAATTAATTAGAATAACACTTTTATATAACTTTTACTACATATATAAAAATAGCTTATATAAGTACTGATTTACACAAAACTGTACATAATTTATAATTATTTAATAATTCTCTCTCTATATTTTTTGTATACCCAGTGTTTTATTACCTATTGATTCAAATAATATATATATTTAGTAATATAATGAGCATAATAATATTAATAAAACATTAAATCAAGTATATGATGAATTTATATTCTTTATTCCTAATTTTTATACCAAGAAATAATTACCTTTCTTTTCCTCTTTTACATTTTTGTTTTTCTCTTCATATGAATTAAAATTATACATTCCTAATATTGCAAATAAATATATTTGAGTTCAAAATATTTTATTTATTACACAATATATCCCATTGTAACTATTAAAAAGCATATTTATGAAAAAAATGGCATATCTATTATAATATAGTGTAAACATTAGTAAATTCATAATGCTTATCATCTTTATTGAGTTCTTTATTATAGAAAAAAACATAAGAAAATATAAATTCAACTAATATATATCCCACATTGTAAATCGTAGTGTTATCATATACCGATGTTGGATTTTTACTGTAATAGTGTTGTAGAAAGAATAATCCATTTACTATTATATTTACATAATATAAATAAGTAATGTATTAAACATACAGGAAATCTAGTTTTGATATTTTTTAAATTATTTATAAATAAAGGATTATAATATTATTATAATGTATACTACGTTGAAATATCAGAAAAAACTTAAATTATATTTTACAAATAATATGTTTAATTGTTTGTTTAAATGTAGCAGATTAAATTTTATTTATATTACAAATTTTATATATAAATGAAAATTATTGTTATAGTAATTATTACTATTTTAAATTTACTAATATTTTCAACATCAGATGCACTTCAATTAATGTATTCAATATAATTTGAATCATTTGTATCAAGTAAAATTATATATAAAGGAGTTAACACATTATTTATGAAAAATAATATAAAAAAAATATATATATAACACATTTGTATAAATATTATTTAATGGGATACCTTATTTCCTAAATTAATTTTCCTATGACTACATTAAAAGCTTACACAAAAAAAAAATGCTTATTTATATGTGTGTTTGTATTATAGTTAACTTATAAAAAAGGTTATATATATAAAAAGAATATAAATTATACCTGATAAATCTTTTTTCATTCATTTTCCATAATGAAAATCATTTCTTAAAAAATACATTTTTCAATTCTAAAAATATAATTCGTTTGTTTAATGCAAAAAAATAGATGTTGGATTATTGAGGCATTTACATACACATTGGCATCCCAGTTAAATGATGCTTTTATTCAAATATTTTTTGGAAATAACTTACAAGTAATAATAATACATCATACTCATTAAAAAGAAGATTACTAACTTTATTTTTATTTTTTACTTGATTTTTGACAAAACACTATAATGGAGTAAGATAATAGGCAAAGTGAAAATATAAAATCGTGTTTTTTTTTTTTTATTAATCTAAATCATAAAATAAACAAATTTTATATTATAAAGAAAAAATAAACGATGTAATACAAATACAATTTAGCATTGTCATAAGCACGTAAAATCATGGATAACACGCTACAATTCTACAAAATCCATTGGTCACAAAAGCATAAATAAGATGTTGGATACACACTTAAGTGAATTTTTCTAATGTTTTTATTAATAAAATAAAGTGACATGTCATAATATCTAACTCCTTTATGTATTCAATTATTTATAATTAGTTTTAATTTCATGTTGATATAAGAATGTGGAATATAAATAGAATTTTCTATATTTTAGTCTAAACTCATTCTATGTAAATGTATTTTTAGTATAATATTGGGAATAAATTATTAATTCTGAACCACTAACCACGAATCATATTTTTTTAAATGGAACTTCGTATCCTTATCTAATTTTATCTATTATTTTAAATATATTCCAATTACTTCTCATTTTTGATTTAGTAATATAAGAGAGATTTGTGTCCTAAATTACATTTGTAAAAATGGAATAATTATTTCTAGTTATTAGAAGATTTTATTTATAATTTTGATTTACCTAATTTTCTAAATGAATATATATTTCCCATTTTTTACACTTTATTCTGTGTACAACCAAGGTTCAAAATGTTTTTTTGCTCTTTTTTAATTGCCTTTTCTTGCTTATAAATATGTAGATAAATATTTTCTAATACTGTAAATACATATGTTATAAAAATTATGTATTAAATTACTATTTTATATATATAATAATATATTTTTACATAATATATAAAAGCAACAATTGAAACTACTCATATCGAATCAATGCTAAAGATCCTATCAGTGTTAGGTGAGATTTCATTGATTCCTTTACAATATCTAAGTTTTAACTATAGAACTACATGTCTAACTTTCTATATTAATTTCATACACTGTTTTTTTTAATGACACTACTTATAATCTCATTCCTTGAATATTTACATCTCCATATCTCATAAAATAATCAGTTTCAGGAATACAATTAGAATTAAAATATTCAGGTATATCATTCGCATAAGAAAGTGTACAGGAATTCATAAAATAATATGTTGTATTATTATTAATTTTTTATGCATTTTCAACAGGATTATACAATACATAATTAAAAGAATTTATAATTTCAATAAAACTAAGGCTTTTATACTTAATTCGATTAATAACAGTATAATAAATAAATTCAAATATACACTATATTATATATGTGTTATATAAATATTTTTTAAAAGAATTATTAAAAGTTCTTGTAATTATAAAAAAAATTTATTATTTATTTTTTCATCAACTAAAAGCGTAAATATTACATTCCCAATTTATTTTACCAATAAACCTTACTTTTTTAACTTTCGGAACTATTAATTATATAGTGTATTTTAATGTTCTACAATGATTAACAGTTTCTATAGGATATTATTCATTTAGTTTTTATATTTTTTTCAATTTAATATCAAGATAAATTAAAAAATTATATAATAATAAAAAGCAATTATTCTTAATTCTCTAGTAATATTTACACCATTATTTTAACACAATCGATAAAAATGAAAATTTATCGAAAATTCATAGCATACATAAATGTAAAAAATTATAAGCTGTTATAATTATTCACATTAAGAAATAATATATCCATGAATGCTAAAAGAACACACTATTTTCTGTGTCTGTATAATTAAAAATGCTAATATTTCATTTTATAATGTTAAGGAAAATATTAATATATGTCAATGACATAAATGAAACAATTTAAATGTGATAAATAAAACAGAGAATTTTGTACGCATATTCCAAATATCTAAATGTACGGAGAAACACATAAATCTATATCTATAATTATATTTTTATTGTAATTCATTGATATACATGAAATTTCATCTGATATATTTAGCACAATTATAATCTCATATCACCAAAATAAATACGTAAAAAAATATAAAGAAAGATTAGTGAAAAATTAAGTGTAATCTACTAAATATATAACACGAGATTATAAAAGGCAAGCGTGCACAAATGAAATACAAGTGAAACATAATTAATTTATTTTCTATTAAAAGTTAAAAATAAATATATCACGTAAAAAAAAAAATAAATTATGTAATATATTGTAATTATTGTTACATAGTAAAACAAACATTCTCCTAAAATATATATTTAAACAGTGTTAGTGAACTTTATAGTGTATAAACTTTAATTACCTCTTATATAAAAACGAATTAAATAAAACTATTCCCTTATGAAATATGTTATATAATAGTGTTAATATAAAATATTTATATCCAAAAAAGTATAAAAATATATCCCAGCTTCATAACCAATAATCTTCAAATAAAAAAATTTAGAATAATTAAAAAATAGTAATAATATATTAAACAAACATCCTTGAACTCTATAATATGGGCAATGCACCTACAACTCAAGTGACAACCTTAAGTGAGGATCAATTGGTATATTTTCATTTTTTACACAATATAATAACCATTTATTATTTATATGTCAATTTAATTCGTAAAATCAATATAAATATCTTTATTTCAGAAAAATAAATAAATATTTAAATAATATATTGTAACTGTGTAATTTTCAGAATGATGTTTTAAAAGATTTACCTATATATGGAATATATGAAAAAATTAAGGAGGATAAAAAAGCTAATAATAAGCATGATAAACATTGTGAAAATATAAAATCTCATAATAGCCAATGTGATCAATATCTTATTGCATTTTGCAAAAAATTTGCTTCTCGTTTGGAAAATTTATCTAATTATTTGAGTAAAGGACAAACACATGCTGATGCTTGTTCACATTTAACCTACTTGACATATGGTGAAATAAAAGATATATTTGATTCATATAAATGTCCCTATGAAAAAAAATATTTCATCGATAAAATTAACGAAGCAATAATCCATATTAATAATAGTGTGTCAACTCATAAAGTTTGTTATATTGACATTAATTATGCATTTGAAGAATCGACACTTAAAAAACGTTTACACGATTATTTTAAAAATTTTGATACTATTAGTGAAAATATTTCTAAAAATAATAAATATCAGTGTCATTTATTTTATTTTGATTACCTTAAATATATATCTACCATATATGACAAATTTAGAGATGATTGCTGTGTTTATTATGGACTTCAAAATCATTGTTCTTCATATTTCCATTGTGATGATGCTTATAGACCCCAAAATTTGTTATCTGAATTATATAAATATTGTATTCGTGAACCTTTACTTTTTAATTTAAAAAAGGATATTAACAAATCAGCTAATGATTTAAAAAATTTACTTAATTTGTTAAAAGATGAATCATATGAAGGTGTTCATTTACAAACCATTAAAATAAGTACAGACCCTAAAATTCCTGATCTATCAAGTGCAACAGATTATAAGTACATTAGATGTTACAATATAACACATCCTGATTACGACTCAGTTAAAAGGTGTTATTCAGTAAAAACACCTAAGAATGAAGATTTTGATAAAGTTTTTAAATTTGTAAACCAAGAACAATATACCCCTGCGAAACCCATAACGAAACGTAAAAAATTAAAAGATAATAGGCTGTTATTGCAAAGTAATAAGCAAATTGAAATGCAAAATGGTAGTAGTGATGCAGTGACAACTGATGTTAATGCTAAATTAAATGATAATAAAAATGTCGAAAAAGAAACTAATAATAATTCTGAAAATAAACCCCCTAAAAAAGATGAATTACAAACTTATGGTAACGTTAAAATGACAACTCATATTAGTTATGATAATTCTTATCATTTAGAAGCATATAATATATATCAATCATTACCTATGCGTATCATTATAACGTCCATTCTTGTGTTGGGTATAATTTTTTTAACTTTCGTTTATTATAAAGTAAATGTCAATATTTTTAATTATATAAACTGTTTTTTTTTTATAGTTATATAATTCTCAATTTTTCTAATATCACAGAAATACACTACATACATTTTATATATTTTACTCCTCAAAAGTTTACTCCGTTTGGACCATGGTTACGTAAGAGGTTGCACAAAGAAAGAGAAATTAGGAAAAAAAATCTAAAAAATAAACATCACACTCCAAATAGAAATAGATCAAAATTAAAAAAAGAAAACATGCAGAATACTAGAGTTCGTCTTTCTTATACCCAGGAACAATAATATTTTAGTAGACGAAAAATATAATATATTCTTATACAGAAAAGACATATTCAACTGAAAAATATTTATTTTATACGTTTAAAAATATATAAGTTATATACAAGAATTAATTATTTCATATATATATATATTCTCCCTTTTAATAAACGACAATTGTTTTTTTATACAGTTTTTTCTGTAATTTAAAAATATTACAACTAATTTTTTAATAACACGATATATATATTTTTACATTATTTGTTAATATCGTTATAATTTGGTTATAGCAATAATATTTAATATATTTTTTATATGTATACTCCATAAATTTTGAAATAATTTTTTTCGTATTTTTTTTACTTAGTAAAAAAATATATGGAGGCGAATATATTTATCCATAAAATTTTTTTTAAATCTATAATCATTTATTTGTTTGTGGTGTTTAATAATTAAAATAATAAATATATCTATGTCCCCAGAAAATTGACGCTTAATATATTTATCCTAAAGAACTAAATTATTACAAATTATAATATATATAATGTTAGAAAACTTATAACCCCTATAATAAGTATGAAATAGTTTACTGGGTTCATTCCATTTTTTACTCACAATTTCTTAATTTTCTTTTATCAATAATTTTATTTTGTTCCAAATTTAATTCTTTTTTATAACTCTAATAAAAAATATATAACTTTATTACAGATGTAAGTAACCTACGAGAAGTTGATAAAAAAAATTTTAACTTTACTGAGAACAGAATATCCTTATAATATTAATAGTTATTATAATACATGTATGAGTATATATTAAGGAAAAGAACTCTAAATGTAATACCTGTAACTAAAAATTACTAGCTGAAATTTACATTTATCCATTGTATAAAAAAAACATACTATTTTTATCAGAAGTTATTTAAACCAATGCAGAATACTAAAGAATTATCTATGTTAATAAAATAATATAGAAAACATGTAAATAAATAAAACGTTAAAAAAAATATTACCTACACATAAAAATTATAAAAATAATGAATTATCATTTAAAAACAAATTTAAAATTTTATGTAACACTACGAATTTATATACAGAGAGAATTTTAGTAATTCAATTATAGAATATATTAGAAGACTGCGTAAAATCTACATAATGAATATAAAGTAAACATTATAATATTATTGCGATTTATAAATATTTCTAATATAATAAAATTCAAAATAGCTCGTTTCATAAATAATATAAATTAAGCAATGATATATTTTTGCTAAAATACTTAATAATACTATTAAATATAAATAATAAAATTAATGGATAGTCATTTCTAAATGTATAATAGCAAAAATACATGTAAGTCTAAGTGCATACAACCACGCCATTAAATATATATGAAACAAGTAAAAATAAAGTAATAATTCTCTAAAATATTATCTACTAATTGAGGCTTAATATTTATCATTTAAAATATAATATAAATACGATAAAAGTATATAATTTTGAAACATCATTTATAACGCTCAGTATGAATATTATTTATTATATAGATTAAGCATAATCTAATTATCTCTAAAAAAGTGTCCATGTTTTATATATATTTATATATGTATATAATCATGATTATATTTCTGAGTGCCTATAGTTACGTAAAAAATGAGATAATATACAGTAAAATAAATTATAAATTATCATATATATTAGACAAATTATACGTGATTTAAAAAAAATTCTTTTATATTAACATTTCTATTATACCATATAATAAATGAAATTCTTCCTATATTTTTATTATTTCCTATAAAATTAATTATAATTGAGAAATATATTTTATTATTGTTTCATAATATTATTAACATGTAAATTTAACAATACATGTTAATGACATATAAATTTTTCATGTATCCTTAATATACATTGATATAAAATGTTAAATATATTATAAAGTTTATTCTGAAAGATATTATCCATTAATTTCAAAAATCCTTGTTTTAAGTATGATTTTAACAAAGATCCTATAATTAATATTTTGTGGTATTTTACCTTATTTATTAATAACATGTATATTTTGTATAATAAACTAACTATCGTATATATTTTGATGTGCGATTTTTAAAAAACCTTACATACAAAGAACATAAAATTTACATTTTCCTAAGTTAATGTATTTACATTAAATAGAAAATGGCAACCAAAATAAGATTGTTAATATGTGATATAAACACCTTTTATTTCCTTATATGAAATCTTTTTCTTATAAACATATAATTCATAAAAATTCTAAATATTTTTTTTTTACAGAAGTAATTTATATATATATAATAACGCTTAAGCCTTCAAAATAGAAAAGTACTTTTAATGAAATAGTCATATATATCTAATGCAATTATACAACTCATTACATTACAGAGTTAATATTAAAAGCACATTCTATATTAGAAATATAATCTTGTAATGGTTACTCAAAATAATAATGATACTTCTCTTAAATACATATAATGAATATATTTATAGTATCGTAATTATGAACAAAATAATCACGTCTGTTGGATCTAAAATTATTACCATAATTTAAGGTATTGCCTAATTTAATAAAAATGTAAAATTTAAGAATTATAAAAATTTACATATGTGGTATTATTATAATATTTATTATTGAATGCTTAACAGACAATTGTTTTAAATAAATAAGAAAAAAAAATTGCCTATTAATATATATATAGAAAACATAATGTCCAACACAACTCATATACAGAAGGATATATGTTTTCACACCTTATTTAGACTCTACTTTATATTACTCAATATTAAATATGTTATTTCTGAAAAACTATCAAAAAATATTTTCATAGTATCTAAATTTAAAATTTTGTATATGTTATATCTTCTATTATTAGATCAATATTAGGGGCATACTCCCTAAATGAAGAAATGATTATAACACAGCTAATTGTAAATACATGTAAAAGGAATAATCATTGTATTAACTTATTTTATTCGATGAATTTAAGAATAAATATGAACATTCTAAATGTAACCTTGATTTCTTTAGTAAAACATTTCTATATCTAGATCCCTTTTTATTTTATGTAAGATATAAATATTCTGATAGCAGCAATTTGTACGATAAAATTCTAAGTTGTCAATATTTCACTTACACACTAAAAAATGAACTAAATAAATTCGGTTGTAAATTAGAAAATATTCAGGGTACTTACGATAAATTGAAAATTTTTCGATCTAATTGCCTTCAGAATTCATTCCATAATATATGCGATACTCATGAAAAAAATCTTGAAGAAGGTTCATTAAAAATATATCATCATCTGGATGAAATATTTTATAACAATGTATATTACGTATCCTACACTTGGAAATGCCATAACAATAAAAAATATATGAAATATACATAAACATATTTAAAAATTATCCCAATATCAATAAAGAAAATTTAAAAGAAATACATAAAAATATAGAACTTCGAAATACATGACGTAACAGCACAATGATAGACTATCCACCTGAACCAAAACACATAACATTGTCTTCTGACAAGAATTCAAGAACAATAACAGATTTGAGGAATATCATAGTGAATGTCCCAAGTTGAAAAACAAACTCAAGACTATTGATAAAACCAAAAGAATCACCATAGATATAAGAATTGAAGGGGGTAGAAACAGGTATAATTGATTTATTTGTTTCATTATTAATAATTCTATTCTTTCTTATAAATGTGAAAATAAAATGAAATTATTAAATATATAATACATTTCAATTTATGTTAAACATTATTATTAATAATATAAATCAAATTAATAATATATTCACAAACATATCACATTGCTTCTTTATTATCAGTACAAAACTTATGCTTCATATCTAAATCCAATGATAAAAAGGTTAAAAAAAAATATTGAATAAAAAAAATAAAAATAATTTGAGCAGGGAGAACACATTTAAAAGTGAATACAATAATTCTATTTAACATAATTATATAATAGGGTAACCCTCAAATTGCTACATCTGATAAAAGTATAATATTATTTACTAAAATTAAGATAGTTTGATAAAAAACAAAATAACATCTTACGAATTAATTTTTGTAGAGTGAAAAAAAATTTAATTAACCCTACAAATACATTTGTATATAATGATAAAATTTTTAAAAAAATAATTGAAGCTTATTCCATTCTAATTTAATGAATAAAATATATATTTCTAAATAGTCTAACAAAACATAAAATGATTACAACAGTTATCTATAATTACAATAAGTTAATAATCTACTATAATAAATTGCCAAACCTTATATGCAACAATTTTTATAGAAAAATATACTGATATAGACAAATAATATATTATATATTTTCAAAAAAACAAACCTGAAATAGAATTATTTTTTCTATTTTTTATTAAA